GTTCATTCAGCCATTTGCCTTCTTCCAAAGTCAATACCATCTCCCTATAAGCAGTTACAGTAGCTGCTGAAAATATATCTTATATTCTAATTCCATTGAGGTTTTGAATATCTTTTAAAGATTGTGATGTTTCAAAATGAGATTACCAAATGTGTGTCCCAAAGTGCCTCTGCGTGGGTGAGTGGGAATTACTCATCTTTTTACTAATACTTAAGCACTTAACCATTGTGCCATTCAGAGACATATGCATACAGGAACACACACTTAAGAAAAGGTTTCATAAACTTTGTGGGAAAAATCCCATTATCTTTTAATTCCATTTTCTATGAAATCAATAACACTTCATATACAAATTATATATAAAATAAATGTCATTAATTTTAATATATCACCAGTCAAAAACATAGAAGCTCTAGAAGTAACCATAAGTTATAAATAGTTCTCAAATATGATGCTAAAAAGGGTCATCATAATTAATCTTAAAATGTATACAATAATATAGCCATAAAATATTAAAATTACAGAAAATAAGTACTGCTATATTTTTAATAAGCTATATAAACCTAGGAGTGAACTAAAACTAATCAAATTTCCTTCCTTAACAAGCATAATAATAATTCTCCAGAAATAGCGCAAGTCCTTACAACTACATTGATATTATTTGTTGCCTCTCTTGTGTGTGCATGTGTATGGAATTTACCCATGAAATTGTCTACATTAGTTTTAGAATGTGACTATAAGTTTTATTATTAAATATCATTAACTATAAAGATGCAAAACCTAAATTAATATGATGCTTATATCATGACATAGAAAACAGATATTACTTGAGATACTTGGCCTCTAAATAAAAATAAATTTACTTTAATCACTTTTCAAGTTATGAAAGAAACATATATATATGTCCAATAACTTGTAAATGGATTTTTTCTGTTACTCTTAAGTCTAAATCCTGTGTTGGGACAATAAAATCGTTTGAAATATTTAATAGTAAACCAATCAACTGTTCTAATGTCTCCAAATTTCAAACTAGTTGTGTTACATATGGCTTGAGTAACTGACATTGAATTTTCACAAGAACTAATCTTAATTAAAAAAATAGTGTCAATCAAGATTTGCGATAGCCCTTGAAAGAGA